GGTAAGGAAAGCATCAGATGAGCTACCTGAGAAACTAACGTTACGTTTCCCCACTTTAAAACCAAACAAACATGGCCGCTCACCCTGCTGATCAGCTCTCTTCACTGCCATCGACGGCTCCAGCGTGTTTCCTTTTCAGGTGCTGCATCATAACAGTGGTGCTTCCGTGCCATGTTCATTTGTTTTTACATGTTTGCATGTTTTGCATGTTACGACTTTTTTTGCTTTACAAAGCGCAGGCTGTCTGTGAATTAAGACGCAGTTGCGTTTGCGGTATCGGTCATTAGAACAGTTGACGTTACTGCCTTTTGAAAACAGCCTTTGCTCACCTTCGGCGCTGGCTCGCTCTGCCGTATTTTTTTTCTTCCCGCGTTTCAATCAAGTGGCAGTGATGACGACGGCGGCGGATGACGCATTAATCGCGCGACACAACTAATCAATGATGAAATTCGTTGCCAACGCTTTTAAAAGTCGATTTGTATCGATTGGTTGTTGCAGCCCTAGTGGCAACATTTTCTTTTTTCCACCCTGGACAGGAAAGCTACTTGAAGATGTTTACGGCTGTGTTAAAATAAAAATGTTTTCCAATCCTGAATCAATTCTTCTATTAATTCCTAGAGATTAACTCATAATCCAAAACAAAATTCAGTTTTTCTTCAACTTTCCATCGAGACTTTTCTTTTCTTCTTTGTATTTCTGTAAGATGAGTTTTTGTTCCTTTGAGGAGAAGTAATGGTCATGATTGGTTTGCTACCTTGAATTGCCCCTTTCTACCTGAGCGTTCACGGATTCATGATCAGTTCAAGCTGGATTGAGTTAGTGAGTTGATAACCAGCTGGTCTTAACACACATCCTGATTGTTGTGGGTTGGTTAAACTGGATTGACTGGAAGTAATCCCGCTAGATTGAGTTTGCTTTGGGGTAAGGGTATCTGTAGAGAACATGTCAGAGACCACAAAAGATTTAATTTGGCATAACTTTACTTTTCATCAGAATAAGGCCCAAACCAACCGGCCACAGCTACAATGACATCATATAGTTTAAGGTGTACTCCTTTGTTACAGTTGACTGATAAAAGACCAGTCTTAGATTGTAAGATTTTTTTTTTTAATCATCTGAAATGTCAGAAAAAACTAATGTGGGCCACATTTTTTTATTTTTATTTTGAAAGGTTTAAACATAATTCTTTTCATTTCATAACTAAGCACTGATTCATTTGGGCCTATTGCATAAAATCCATAAAGAAACGTTCAACTCGGGAAACTTTTTCCTGGCTCTTTGTGCAAAATGGTTTAACCATCATGTGAATTCTGAATATTTCAAACAAAAACATCAGTGGATTATAAAGCTGCATGCTTCATTTACTGTACCACTGTGTGACCTCATTCTATTTCATTCTTTTGCAGCTAAATACAGAGAGGAATTCAAGCTCATCATTGACCGAATAGCTGTGGTGAAGTCAGAGAATGTGAGTGAACTCTGCAGATATTTTTACCTTTTGTGGCAAAAAGCCTTTACCATCAATATTACAAACCATGCTGACTTAGGACTGGCATTTATTACAGCTAAGAGATAAGAGGATATTAAAGAGAATGGACTAAAAATAATGTTTCTTGTTCCACAGTGGAGAAAGTGTCAAAAGAGATAAAATATATTTATAAACAGAAGCCATAGTGGGGTGATATAAGTTAGAGATAAAATTTTCATTTTCAAAAAAATTTAATCGCATTTTTTTTAAATCTTTTAGTTTCATGATAAAGATGGCTATATATAAATGACTAGATATATTTTAAATGATTTTTCATGTCAATATG